GACTTCTGATCCACTTCTGTCTGCTACGCTGATGTGCAAGTAAAACATAAGCTGTTTTCTTAAGAAACTTTTCAGTACTGGAGTACATCCCATTCTCCCTAATGTTCATGTGTAATTTCCTTCCAACGAGGCAAGTGCAAATTATTGCACATTTATGTACTTTCTGAGCATCACACACACCCCGCACAAACATTCCTGCCATCTGAAATCCTACTCAAGACAACAGACATCGAATGATTTTGATATTTCTCAGCTAGGAGCTGCTAAATCCTGTTCAATCTGCTTCTTAATTAAGACTTGGTGATTCTTTTATTCTAATTGCCTTATAATTGCTAAAGCAATTAGTTTGATGTCAATTTTGATTCGGCTGCATTCAGCGCAGTTGACGATAAGACACTACAGCAGGGCTGTAGGTGGGCAGGCACCATGTGTGCCAATGGTGCACCCGCTTTATTTTCCGAGGGCAACTCTTTTTATGAACGCAGGGAAGCTGCTCGGGCCTCCTGCCGGGGTTTAATGACTTCCTGCAATGCTCCTTCTGAGCACGCAGCATAAAATGGGCTCAGCAGCAGCAGAGCTGTCGGTGCTGGAAATGGAGGAAGGCACAGATTCCAGCATGCAGAGAAAGACGTGAAGTCGTGGAGAAGGAGAGGATCGCGAACAGAGTGGAGAAAGTGTCAGGAGACGTGAAGAAGAGTTAGTTTCCGAGATGAAGGCAAGAGTATGAGATAAGAGGCCAGGGGATGGCACTGACGCTGAGCCATCACCAGGCTGCAGTACCGGCTTCCCCCATAAAGCGATGCGAACGGTGGAGCGCGGCCAAGCTGACCCTACACAAGTGCTGACAAATCCCGACGCTGGCCCTGCTACGAGCAGGAACTCTGTTTATGTCGCATGTGCGTGAGCACGCAGTGGGGACGAACCCAAGGCTAAATTCAGTGCTGGGCTTTGGAGCCTGCCCCGTCCCTGCCGTGGGAAGCTCTGGCCCTGGCCGCAGGTCTGGCCGCAGAGAGACATGCGGGGGCTGCCAACAGCTATGCCGCTGCCTCCAAAAACATAAAAAAAGTGTGAGTCCTGCTGATACAGGAGCTCTTTGCGGCTTGAAACCAGCACAGGCTGCACAGGTCAGGGCTTGACTGTGTGGCACCTTCCCACACACGTAAAGCTGCACTGGAAGGGGCAGCCTGGGGAAGCGGAGGAGCGAGCGTTTCGGACCCGCCGCAGCATACGTAAGCAGGATCAGCCCCAGGACTGGCCGCATGGGAAATAACGACAGTGCTCCATTGGCAAGATACTATTTCTGTTTGGCTTTTTGGCTTTCAGGCTCAAGAACTGTGGGATGTTATGGAAATCTGCAAAAGTGCTAATCAGACAGCAAATTTCAAAGAGGGGAAAGAAGGGCTGGCAGGCAGGGACTAAAGATAAAATGGCAAACTTGGAAACCTCAAGTATTGTTCGAAAAACTCATCTGGAAGCAAATCAAAACTGTCTTTGGACTTGGCTAGTTGGGAGAAAGGAAGTTTAACTGAAAGAGATCAGTGCTGATTCAGGACAAAAAAATACTTAAAAAAACACAGTCTGGGGCCTTTTTTCCTCCTATTGTGAATGTATTTTAATGAGACTTCATTTTCATTTTTGACTGAACTGTTACGGGCTCTTAAAGCTACCCAGGACACTGAAATAACTTTGCAGTAATGGAAAGCACAGTTCAGGCTGGCATTACTTGAACTGTTTCACGCACGATGAGCGTGGGAGGGCTTGGTTTTTATATGCTTGGGAAAAAAAAAAAGGTTTAGAGCACAGACTGGATTCACATGTTGCTGCCCTGTTAATACAAGGCTGACAAGTCATTAGAGATGTCCTCCCAGGAAAACGTTACAGCCATTTCCAAGATGTCCTGGTGAGGCTGGGGTGGGAAAAGCACAGAAAACAGCTGCTTATCCCAAGTGCCTGCTAATTTTGGGATGACTATCTATTTGCATTTTGTGAAGAACCAAACCTCAGCTCTGTCCCACATGCAAAGCTTTAGGAAGCTTGGACCCAGACCTAAAAGCTGAATTCCAGGACCTTAATTTCCCTTTAACTCCCAGTCCCCTGATCCTGCTAGGAGCCAGGCACAATGGTACCACAGTATCTTATGGGGAAGGCTTTTTTTTCAGCATTTTCCACCAAAGCTGTAGCAGAAAGTAGAGACATGGACCATTTTATCCGTAATTCTTACTCAGTTCTGCCAAAAGAGAGGCCTGCATCGATTGTGCAAATGCTGCAAGTTTGCTCTGAATCCAGTCCCAAGCAGCAAGCCCCCTGCTAGTTCTCCATCATCTCTCCTGCAGGCAGAGACAAACCTGCCCGGCAGAGCGGTGACTCCATTGCCTTCAGGTGCCCTCCACATGTTCAGACCACTAGTGACTGTGGCCTGCAACTCCTTCCCAGTTGAAGACAGCTCCTTCAAATCATTTTCCCCCGAAACACAAATGGACGGACTGTTAGGCAGAGCATTAATACGAAACAAATGTTTCGAGCATGTAGCGTTGACTTACAAGGGAAAATACAAGCACTTGGAATTTTTCCACTGCACAACGGCAGGGACCTTTGCAGCAGCTGTTTCAAATAGACGTTGTGATTAATGGGGATAATTCAGGAATGAAAACCAGACCCATCGTCACACGTCTGACAGACCAGTGCTAGAGGCAGGCGGGCAGCCTTTTTTTTTAACCAACAAATGCCTCTCTGAAGGCAACAGAGTTTGATCCAGAGGAACGCAAGGCACATGGGAGGCGTTTGACTATCGCTAGTATTTAAATCACAGCCCCGAGCTGAAACCAGCCCGTGTGTAAGGAGGTGCTGTGTGTCTGACTGCAGTGGCTCCGTGCTCATCTGCGTGTCAGGGAAGGTCTTGACTCCGATCCGGACCAAGACCCCCCATCCCTTTGCACAGCTGAGCTCGTGTCCACCTGGGACAGTCAAAGGGCCTCTCTGGACATTTCTGCCTGATCAGTTCTCTTCCTCCTCTGTATTTCAGCAGGGAGCATGGTTTCTCCTCTGATCGGGTTCCCCACTCTCGTTGTAGAGCTCGTGGTGTGAAAGTCCCTTGGAAATCAACTCTTTATCGCGCTCTAGTATGGAAACCGTTTGCTTTTCAGAAATGGGAAGTAGGCTGCGGTAGCAAGTGCAGTGATGGGCGTCACTGCCATGGCTGCAGGCTGAGCACATGAAGCAGGAGGGCACTGCAAACCCAGTGCGCAACGTTAGTGCCTGCTGAGGACCCATCCACAGGCGGATGGAAATGCTGGTGGCTTGTCAGCTGGGCAAGCGGCCACCACCGTCCCGCAGACCCGCTCCTGTCTGTACCCTGTCTTTCCTCCTCCCTCCGTGGGTCGGGCCAGGGCCACATGGCACGGGACAGTCAGCTCACAGCTCGCACCAGCATCGTCTGCACGGCCCCATCCGTGGGACGGTCACCAGCCCCACCACAGACCCTGGACAAGCCTGCGGTGATGGGCACCTCCCTGCTGGGCACCTCCCTGCCAGGCACCCAAGGGAGGGGCGGTGCACCGGCACCCAGGAGCTCCTCGCCATTAATTAGCTATGTAATGTGCCCAAGTCTTCAGGCCCACGTGATGAAGACTGGACTTTCTTTCCTCTTTTTTTTTTTTCCCCTGAGAAAGCCTTCTTGCACAATGTCCAATTTTAGCACAAACTGGAGTTGGATCAGATGCCTCACATGTGGTCTCCACTCTCCAAAAGGAGAGATCAGCACTTTTTTCCTCCAATGGTTTAGCTACAGGGACAAAAATTGAAGATTAAAAAAAATTCACTAATTCACTATTTTCTGCTCTTACAGGCTGGATAGTCATGCTGCATCGGTACAGCCACCGTCATTTGCTCCTGTAACTTTCCTTCATTATACTGGCTAATTATGTGAGCTAAAATGAAAGATTATGAACTACAAAACCACAGGCTTTAGGACAAAAAGTGATCATCAGCTGGGATCAGAAGACATTATGATATGTATGAGGACAATACAGTATTGCTTCTGTGGCTATAGCAAACTCTTTGGGAAAAGAGATTTTTCAAAGGCTTTTTTCAAGGCTCTCCCCTGTGGGTATAATGGGGTGTCCTCCAATTAACTGCCGTGGAATCAATTAAGTTATTGCTCAATTCTTCTGGGAAATTCCAACCAGAACTGGCAAACGTTGGAGATAAAGCACTGAGCAGATGGACTGCTGCTGTGCTCTGAGATGCCAAATATACTCCTTTTTGTTACTGTCGGAAGCCAGTCAGGCTTCTGGGACACACATCCCACCCCTCCTGCTAAGATCTGCCTGGCCAGTGTGGAACCACGAGGAGGCCTCCGGCGCGAGAAACCCCACATACCAACAGGCACCGACATGGAGAAGCCCCCTGCCCCAGCGCCACCATCCCTCCCGACGGCCGGGGCTCTCGCGCTCAAGACAGACAATGCTGAACTGGCTGGCAACCATCAGTACGGCTGGGCGAGCTGGGCCGAGAAAATAACAAATAACTGGAATGGTTTCCAAAACCTCAAGCCATTCTGGTTAGTTTTCAACTCCCCTATGGCCCTCTTCTCAAGCATGGTGAAAACGTTAGTTCGTGCTCTGGCCTTAGCAACGGCCTGCTATGAAGTCTGATCTCACCAGATCCCCAGGCAGAAGTGAAGAAACAACTGAACTTAAGGTTGCTTCTCCACACTTGAACCTTACAATACACTAGAGTTTGTTAACCATTAGTGGCCATTCACGTGGCAATGCTGGCAAGTCTTTCGGTCCTCAGCTGTCGAGGGATGCATGGGACAGCCGAGATATTTAGGTCCTCAGCTGTCCCACGCATCCCTCATTACCGCTGCATGCAGTGCTGAACTCACACACACAACAGCAGTGATCTGGTTCTCTTACTCTGAGATAGCTGTACATGCAGATGGACATCCAGTTGGTGAGCATCTTCTCCACTACGGATTCTGTTCTCCTCAGCATCAGCTTGGGGTTTTTGGAAGCTGAAGCGTCTATGAGATCCACCAAGAGGTCCTTCATGATGCTGGTGTAATACTCCAGTTTCCCATGCAACGCAATAGTAAGCAGGGAGGCCAGATTACATCTGAAACACAGAATTGTGTATGACTCAAGTACCAATCCAACAAGACTAAACTGACAACTGGCACAAAAAAACCCCAAATCACAAAGGCAGCATTTATTTCAGACAAGTGTCATGAGCCTCCTCAATAGTGTTAAAACTTCAAACCCTCTTTCAGTGGTGCAGGACCTTGGGTCAGTTTGCACTCTCTTACTGGTAAAGCAAGTGTGCAGGGATACAAACACTCACAAGTGAGTCACTCATACCTTCTGGTGCTCTAAAGGATAATGGAGGTTTACGGCCACCCGTTTCTAATAGAAAAGTGGGAGGCAAGTGTAACTCAACCTTCAACTGAAATGCACAGCTCCAGACATGGTCTGGATTGCTTGCAGGTTAGGAATAAATCAGTCTCCTCCAGCTGCAAGGCCTTTGGTTCTGAAGCTCATACCTGTCTCTAACAGCAAAGTCCTTCTGTTGCTCAAGAGCATGAACAAACACAATGAGAAAGTGCTTGTTGTTGAGTAAGGTGGAGAACAGCGAGATTCCTTCTTCCATATTGGGTCTGCAGTTTTCAGGGATCTAAAGAAAAGTTTAGAAAGCGGAGTGAGAAAAACCCTGCTTGTTGTTTTCCTCCAGCTTTTATCCTTCCTGACTGCAAGGATGCCCCTGCTGAATGCTGGTGCTGAGCTGAAGACCCCTTAACTCCCTCTGCTTGACACAAGTCAGTAGCATGCTCTCCTGGCGGCAGCATGACTGCATCTGGGTCTGTACCAGAAGCAGCTCGGCCAGGGGCAGTGGCCTTTCCTCTCTGTTCAGCATTTGTGAGGCGTTACCTGGAGAACTGTGGCCAGTTTTGCACTTCCCGCTACGAGACAGACATTGGCAAACTGGAACAAATGCAGCTGAAGGCTGCCAAAACAATTAGTGGGTGTGCAACGAGAGGTGGAGAGGGCTGGGTTTGATCAGCCTTAAGAAGAAGTAGTAAGGGGAGATCTTACTGCAGTCTTCAGCTTCCCCGTGGGAGGGCAGAGAAGACAGAGCCAGGCTCTTCTCTGCCAGCACAGTGCTAGGACAAGAGGCAAGGGACACCATCTGGAGCATGGGACACTGACTAAGGAACGAAGTTTTCACCTTTAAGGTGGTCAGACACTGGAACAGGGCCCCCAGAGACTGTGGGATTTCCATCCTTGAAGATATTTGACATAGCTGGACAAAGCCCTTAGCAACCTCATCTAGTTGGAGCTGCTTTAAGCAGATCTCCCTTCCAACCTAAGTGACTCTCTGATTCTTCAATTCCTACTTCTTGTCCACATGAAACCCAGCTCTGGGTCAAGAACAGCTTTTACCAAGTCCCTGCTTGGGAGGAATCTCATTTATGATCAGCTGCGTATGGGACTGAAGTGACATACAATATGATACACGCAGGAAGAAAAGCCCACAGCAGAGCTGGGCAGGATCTCAGGACAGAGCTCCTTCATGTGACAGCAGATCCACAGATCTGCCTTCTCCAATTAGTCAAAGCTGATCTGGTATGTGTTAATTGTTTTGCGTGATCAAGCATTCCCCATGCACCACAAGAAAATGCGTGGCATTGTCAACACACACGAGTACGGTTAGCAACCACTCAAAAGCATTTGTTTTGTTAGTGGGTTACTCACTTTCCATTCCCCCACCAGGAGCGGATGAGTTTCCTGGACCTGGGAGCCCACCTGGGAGCTGAGCTGCTGGGACGGCAGGATGTAGCACTCCTCGTAGAGCGAGGAACACTGCAACCAAGCACAGCGTTAGGGGAGGGCAGCTGCACCCGGCCAGGGACCTCCTCGTTTGCCATGCACCGCCCGGGAACGACAGAGACATGTCATTGGGACTGAAGACCACCCATTATGAAGAAATGCATCGGTATGTCTTACGAAGCCTTTAAACACTTTGCAAGAACCTCTTGAATGAGCAAACACCACAAGAATGGGGGGAGGCAGATGTCTGTGCAGACACAAGGCTGTTAGGGTAGGGAGACTGCAAATAGACTAATTTGACAGCTAGAAAAATCCCAGAAGAGAAAGCATTGTAGAAGACTAAGTCAAAATAGAGGAGTACTGGGTGTTTTAACATATGTAACTTTTGAAACAGATGGGAAAAATGTTTAAATCTCCAACATTCATATAAGCAGCCTGATTCTTAAAGACTCCAGTGTGCAGATATATAGAGATTGGATAACTTAAAAACCTGAGTAATAACTACTAATGAAACACTCTGCAGTCATAAATCATCATCTCACTCCTCACCACTGAAGTGCAACTGCCTCAGGGGTGAAATACAGCCGCTGTTAAGGGCGCACAGCGACACAGCAGAGCAGCTGGTGACGGGAATTACGGCACCGGCATGTCTGGTGCGGCCCTGGAGGAGAACGCTGGGTAAACAGACTGAGACCGGGCGCCCAAAGGGCGTCTTACTGGGCGCACCATGTGCCCAACTTCCAACTGGGAGGAGAGAAAGGGGGAGACGGAGACATCTAATGAGCTTCTGAGTACTGGCAGAGCAGCTGGGAATGCTCGGTGGCATGCTGTGTGGAACAAAAAGCCCCCCTCCCTGAATGCCGATGGCCACCCTTCAGCCCTAGCCTCTGCTGAACAGAGTGGGGTGACATTGGAGCCCCTGGGGAGAAAGGGGAGTCCCCAGCACTTTCTGCTCCTGTGAGAGAGTGCTTTCAGCAGAGGGTGTCCACGGCATCAAACGGGTGAACCAGAGCGACTCCCGTGATGGTGCCCCTGCCGGGCTCCTGTTGTGTGCGAGCAAGCCCGACCTTCCTTCACAGCCCAGGAGCTGCGTCTCCACTTTTGACGATAATTGAGGCTGAAATACATGACAACTAAACATATAACAGTGGAATGATTTTGTTACACTGTAATAACCCTTTAGCAGAGGGAAAGCAGAGCCCTGATCTGGTTAGGAAGGACCTGGGAGCTATTAGGTGCCCGTCAAACGCAGTATTGCCTTACTTTGGGGAAGAACGTCCGGGTGACAAAATGCTTGTACTCCAGGAACGGGATCCCCTGGCTGCGGTTTAACTCCTTGGTCAGGTCTGTCATGTCTGTCTGCAGTTCTGCAAAACCTTACACAGAGACCCGCAGATGGTAAGAGCTCCGATACTCTACCAGCTGAGGCAGTAAGCAGGCTGGCACTGAAAAACATGTCATGTCTCGCGTCTGCCTCCTCGAGCCTTTCCCTTGAGCGAGCTGAAGCGGGGCTTGTTGAGAAGCAGCAGATTACCATCAGGGTTTAACCGCCAGCACTATTCATCGCGTCCTGCAGTGCTGACAGAGAGGACGTTTCCCCTGCCTCCAGGAGAGCAGCCCCTGGTCTGGTTCTGCAGGAGGAAGACCTCAGCCTAAGCTGCAGAGTGTCACGTACCGCAGGGACAGCAGATGCAGATGCTTGGATTGCTTCTCCCAGTTCTCTAGCAGGTGTGTGCTGCAATTTTTGTGGCACCCAATCGTAAAGCACACTAAAGATTAGTGTGGCCTTCAAGCAACCCTCTGATATGGCCAAGGGCCATTAACCCCGAGACAGGGAAGCCAGTGGCACTGAAGATCAGTACCTTGCCCAAGTCAGGCAGCAAGACAGCAGCAGAGCCACACTTCCAGACACTGAGCCTCATTCACAAACCCTGCTGAAGCTCAAGGGCAATGACAGAAATTCTTCTATAAATAATTATATAAACTTCTACAGAGTAGAAGGTGAAGAGCTTCAACCCTGCTATTCCAGCATCTCCCTCCTGGCCCTGGCTCTTCTTGGTGCCCAGCACAGTGACTTACCTTTGCGGATTTCCTCCCGGATCTGCGACTCCATCTCCTCCATCTGGAGCAGCGTTTTCTGCCAGTAGCGCTCCGCTCTGCGGCTCTTTGTGCAAAACACAAAAAGAGCTGGAAAAGACGAAGGGAACAAGCCTTTTGGACTAGGATTTAGGAGCAGCTGCAGCTAGGATCAGAGCAGTCATCTGCTGACATGGGTGCAGAAAGCTAAACTCAGTGTTGGTTTAACACCTACAACAAGACTGGTATCTGATCAGGCAGTTGTTCGTTATCTGTAAATAAGTAAAACCAGCTGGAATTTAATGATCATGCTGTAACTGTCATCTTCAATTTAGGTCTGGGCTGTCTATATTCAGCTTAACTGTATATTAATGCATTCCAGCTGATTAATGAATACAGATATTAAGACATTTACCACCTGTATTACAGTGCTCATGTCTGACAGTCTTCCCATGCCTCCAGAAATATGTTTCTAATGACGGGTGGTGTACTTAATAAATAGTGTGCATTATAACCTTTATTAAAAATAAATTAAATCCCTATTAGAAATACCTCACTTGCTGTGAACTGACAGGTTTCTTGCTGCACAGTCATTCTGGGCATGGGATGAGATGATACCCTAGCCAGAGAACACAGGTGGGTTGCACAGCTTCCAGGGAGGTTAGCAAACGATTGTGTCTGCTCCAGATCTGCAGCTAAAGACGTGTCGTGGTTTAGCTCTGTTCTTCATACTCTTTGCCAGGTGCCTGTCACTGGCTGTTACGGATGACAGGACCTCAGGCTAGGTGGACCTTTGGGATGGTCTGGGACAGTCATGCCTGTGTGAGCCCTGTTCAAGTCAATACGAGTCCAAGACCCGTTTCTCACACCCTTCTTCATTTTGTATTACAGTAGCTACTAAGTGTTTGGGGGAAAAGGGTAAGTTTATAAATATCACAGGCTCAAGGAACAGAGTTGAACTATGGATTCAGCCAGCAAACGCTCCATGCTGCAGGAAGCTTTGATCCTGGGTACTGGTTTAGTACTGTCTTCTTTGTACAGACCAAGAAGACTGGCTATTTGCTGCACCCAGACCAGTTTCAGATACTGCAGAACTGCAGCACTTGGAGGTTTCCTAACGTGTCAGCGAGTCAGCTTCCCCCCTCCACATGCAATGAGAAAAAACCTCGGCCCAGCCTGGAAACTCATCGTTCTGTTCTCTTACCTCCAACAGAGAGGACCAGCAAGATGCTGCAGATGACAATGGAGACAATGATTGCGGTCTCTCCTCCCCCAAGGTGCAGCATCGCAATCGTGTAGTTGAACTTTCCAACTTGGATCTAGAGAGGGAGAAGGAGGGAGGAAAAGCAGGAGCTGAACAGCACGTTGTCAGGTGGCTCAGAGGTAAAGCAAGGAGGGACTACAGGGTAGTGCTCAGCAGACCTTCACCAAGGACGTACTGACCATGGTGGCTCAGCCCACCAGGCTTCACAGGGAGGCTGGGCTGTGCCTTTCACTGCTGGACCTCAGGGACTTTGTATGTCTCAAAAGAGCCCAATTCCCTTCCTGTGTGCTCTGGTGGAAAGCTGAGGCCAGCTCATAGCAGGCTGCGGTACTGCATTTGTGCCCACCCTAGGGCCATCCTACGGCTTCAATGGCAGAGCCACAGGCTCCAGCCCACATCATGGCCCCGCCGTACCCACCCCAGAGCACGAGACAACCTCTTCTTATTCATACTCACCACACTATATAGTACTGCCTGTACTACTTTTACTAGAAAACCACTTCCACTAATCATCCAACTTTTTTATGCCTCTTAATGGCCTTTGAATCCCAGCTGTACTCTTCTTTCTTCTCCAGAAGCAGAACTGCTGCCACTGAGGAGAAGGAGGGTCAAGAAACTTTAAAGTCTTTAAAAAAGAAATAAAGTAATGGAATAAAAATAAATAATAATGAGACCAGAGACGAGTAATGATCTTGCGGCTAAAGCAGTGGACTGAATGTCAGGAGATGCTGGCTCTGCTCCCAACCCATGCTTCTTGTGACACCAAGCACAAACCACTTGAGCTCAGTCCTTCGGTCTCCTGACCACCAGAAGGGAGGAGGCCAACACACATCACAGGCAGGCTGGCAAGTTTACTTGGTGCTGTTAATGAATGGCTTTCTAGGCCCCTGGGATGAAAGGGTTCAACAGCATCATCTGATAAGGAAAACTCATGACCATGCAAGTCTTTCACTTCTGGAAATGTGAGTTTCACTTCTCTCAAGGAATGAGAAGCAAGAGAAACTTGAGCAAAAAACCTGAAACAAGGTAGGGAAGAGATGGAATAATCTTATGATTACATCTGTGTCACAGAGCACCTCCAGGAAAGGTGCACACTGTGGTTAAATTACAGTCAGCTCTCAGCAGCTGGGCCAAAGTAGTGCCACGAGCAAGGCCTTCCCACCATGTCCATGCATCAAACACCATGTAGCGCACAGCTCCGTGCCCACCGGGAAATCCAAGCCCTTGCTGTTGGGAGCACTAGTGAGGGCACTGATGCTGCCAGCTGAAGGCATCTGGACAAGCCTGGAGGTCTGCAGCATGCCAGCTGCCATCACCCCGGGGTCAGGAAAACCTTCAGTGCCTCCAACCATCGGTGCTGGACCACGTGGTCGGGCTCCCACAGCTCCAAGCCCCAGTGTGCCTTGTACCAGCCCTCAGACAGACTCTGGTGCTGGCGATTTCTGGGGTGGTGCCGCTGGGCAGCGTGCAAGACTAAGAGCTTCGGTCTCCTCCCCAGCGCACGCTTGGCTGGGAGCCGAGATGCTGGATGGGGGTGGGGCGCTGCACAAGCATTTGTGGAGGTTCATTTGACAGTCTGCACAGCACCCTGCCTAGCCGCAAGTTTTCCATGTCTTTAGTCTGAAATGCTGCAATGAGGCAAGTCCTCGATGCATTTTGAGTCTTTTTTTCCCCACCATCTCAACCTTTTGCATTCGCCAGAGGAGAAATCCCATTGCTCTTAAATTCAGTGTTTAAACAGTTTAGTCATGAACAAAAATGTGTTTTAAGGCCTTGGCAAACTTCTCTTGCTTATTTGGACAGGTCTACTCAATACAATTATTTGTAAGGGGAATTAATTAGGCTGCAGGTTAAATGGCAACATTTCCTGTCACCAGCATGTGGGGGGGTCATGCAGAAGGGGCTGTGGCTGGAGGACACTCTGCTCCTGGGAAGAAGAGTCAGGGCTGGGCAGGACTCCTGGGGCACAGGGCCACCTTGGGGGTCACCAGGAACTGCGCTCCGGCTTACGGGATGGAGCCATCCTGCAGCCTCCCAGGATGCAAACGGGATCCCCTTGGGATTAAATTAGACCAAAATCAAGCTCCAGCTCACCTAAGGCACTCCCAGAATTGCTACTCAAAAGTGACCCCCAAACACAGGGAGGCTCAGCAGCCCCATCTTCATGACTGGCTCCTTTTCTCTACAGACAGCTCCTGCTGCCCTTTGCGACTTGTTAACAGGGACCCGGCCCGAGAGCACCTTCACAGAACAGGTATACCCAAAATCACAGTCAGAATTAGGGTCAACAGTGGGACACGTTTTAAAGGGCTGTTTGCCTGTGCTCTGATCACTGCAGATGTGAGCTCTACCAGCTAAACAAGAACAAACTGAGCAGTCACAACAACAGGCATCTCAGCTCGCCAGAAGATTCTGCATCAGCTGGCGAGGCTTCTGCAGCCCCCGATAGCTGTCCTTGATGCAAATGAGGTAGGGACCACTGTGCAAGTCTGGCCCCGTGTTACCAAAGCTATTATAAATATGTTATAAAGGCAGCTGTTGCCTCTGAAATGGCCAGCAGGCAATAACTCAAACCACATATGAAGGTTTAGTAAGTGCCCACAGACGTGAATATAAGTTGATTATTTAGCTGCATTCTCACTGCTGGTACACTCTTAACAGCTATGTGATACTTTAGGGCTGGGTATCATTCTCCTGCTTCCTGGGGACCTGCTAGGGCATTTCCCTGAATGTTTTATGTCAAACCAAAACTAGCAAACTCATAAATTCCTGTTCTTCCCCAAAGGGATTTCCCTGTTTCTCAGATCTCACTAAAAAACAAAATTACCCTATTTAAAATTTCCATTAAAATGACTTGGGAAATTCTGCTACTTCTGCATTTCCATGTTTCCAGTTCGCAATAGAATTTCATACACCAGAGACTGTAACCAGTAAACTGGACAACCCTGTCAGTGAACTGGTGGTGCATCTTTGTGCCTTTCTTATGGGCAGCGCAAGTCCACAGCCTCCTCAGCTCCCTTTGCAGCCTTCCTCCTCCTCCCTGCCCACGCCACAGGCTCCCACCCACGCACTGTTAACACACAGAATGGGAGTGGGGCTGCAGGGTCTCAGACCATGGAAATGGAGGCATTTCCTCGCCAGACACAAAGAGCCATAGTCACATCCCTGCGTGGCAGTGGGCTGCATATGACATGAGGGAAACTGAGGGTAAGAGCAAGCCCTCTGTGGAAAAAAGGACAGTAACAAAGTATTGGGAATTTTGCAGACACAAAGAGGAGTAACAGCCCTGAGAACACCAAATTCTTCGCAGTGACAAAAAGGCAGCCCCTGGGAAGCAAATAAAACTTTCCATCCCTGTGAACTCCTCTTGCCCTCCCCAGTCACACGCAGAGGGACCCATCTTCAGTGGCTTATTGGAGCTTGGTAAGGGTCGGATTCTCATGTTCACTTGTAGCTCTTCTGCTGGCAGTAGGAGGCCAGCTGATTGAAAACTGTATGGAAATCCCCAAACGCATCTCATGAGGGGCAGGAAGAAAATTATGCCAAGTGACAAAAACTCACATGCCTGGGATTTCACAGTGCCTTACAAGAACTGACAACATCTTCCCCCCCAGCTTACAGCACAGTTAACTCAGCAGGCTGCTGCTGGTGCCCCACGATTTGGAGCGCGGCAGCCCCTCTCCATGAGTCAGGGCGGTCTTAGCACTGACTACGCCAGCATCCTGCCAACGAGCTGCCCTGGGGACAGCTGCAAGCGCAGCGTGTTTCGTCCACCATTCCGCCCATGCAGCTTTCTGCAAGGCTGCCTGTGAGCGTGCCTGGCAGGTCCTGCCCGTGCACACAGCTGACCCCTTCGCAGGCAGCGTTTGCAACAGGGATCCCTCCTGCCCGCGTGCCCAGAGCGTGGAGGCTCCTGGAACTCACCGTCACCGGTAACTGTCTTTCCGAAGTGCTCAGTGACTCGTTGACAGAGCAGTGGATGACTTTGTCCGAAACAATTTGGATCTCGCACGAGATAAGGCCAATTTTCACTTGGTACTCATTGCTTTCCAGGCCCAGGCTGTCAGGCTCTTTCTAATGACAAAAATAGAATCAGGATGTCAGTCATTAGAGTAGCAGTTGGAATTGCAATGGATTTTCCTGCTCTACTTTCTGTATTCCCTGCTGTTTTTCAGACCTGGGAGGACTCTCCCTCACCAAGAACATTTTTCCAACACTCCACAGGAAGCCCAGAACCAGGCCATTCCCCATTTTCCTGTTTCCCATTCCTCACTCAGCATGGGGCACGGGATGAGCAAGCCCCTCATGGAACCTGGAAAAATCTGCTTTTGATCTGCTCTGGCTGTGCACCTCAGATAAGGATCTAAGCACCCACCTGGGAGTGGGGAAGGATGTACAACAGAGGACATAGCCAGGGGATATGTATGTCTGCAGAGCCTGAGAAAGGGGGAGCGAGTTTCTGAAGCACGTTGCAACCAGTGAGGATATCCTGCAGTGAACAATGGCCTTTGAATTACTACTGCGCATTGTCCACGCCACTTAATTGCTGTACCCCGACTTCCTTGTTAACTGAGCTGAATTCAGTAGCCAAAAGAGAAGAATGCATGACCTGCTTCTGCAGGAATAAATATCTATTGTCAGGACCTTCTGGAGTACCTGCCTTATTTCAGGCCAGTGCATTATCATTCTTTTTCATACGTCCAGTATTTTATTTAGCTTCTTGCTATTACATCCTTCAAACCCAACCCTCTGTCGTCATTCGTCAAAGGGCATCCTCAGGTCAGGCTGTGTCTCCTGGTGAAGATTGATGTAGGTGCAGCAGGCTGAGCAAGAACTGCCTGCTCCTGCACGGCTCCTGCCCCTCCTGTCCTCATCCGCCCCCCTTCTCTCTCCTGTGCTTGTGGACAGTCACTGTGCTGGCACTTAGGACTGAAGAGCTTCCCAGCAGGGAGCAGGCAACACCCCAGAAGAAGCAGAGCTGTAAATGCCACTCTCTTACGTGTATAACCAGGGTCAAGGGCTCGCCAGGATGGTGCTTGATCCACTTCTCCTTCTTGGCTGTGAAGAACTGGGGGTCAGCATAGTACTCCAGGCTGAACTTGCTGATGTGCAAGGCCTCCTCGGGGTACATCTCCTCATCCAGAGCTGGATGGTTGTCTGCATAGAGGCGACCGTTGAGATAGAAATCGACGGGTGCGGGCTTGCTCCCCGCTGTGATGTTGGAGGCAGCTGGAGAGGGGCAGGTGATCACAGTGTCGGTGTGAACCTTACAGTTCTGAAAGCAGAAGAGAGAGTGCATATCAAAAAACTGACATCCTGAGTGCTCCCACCCAACCTTGCTCCCAGCCCAATCCATAGCACAGGCTAAGGCTTCAGCTTCACACCCCGAACATCATCAGGCACCAGGCACGCAGCCCTGCTCCCAGTTACCAGGCGATACCCAGTGGGGACACTCACCGTTTGCTCTCTGCCGATACCACGGACCACCATGGACACATTCTGGACCAGCTCAAAGCCTCTTCCTTCCAGGGTGATGATCCTGCCCCCACTTCGAGGAGAAGGAAAGAAAGGGAGCGTGATTGCAGAGGACAACACAGAACAGTAAGGTGCAATGGCTGGGTGTTGCCTGCTGTCATTTTCCCAGCTGCTTGAGCAGAAAATGTAACCCAACAGCCAAAGTCTTCCTCTTACTTGCAGCAAGCACCCACACTGCTACCAAGATATCAGGGAAAGAAGGAAGAGCAACAGCTGCTGTGGAGAAAAGGGGGGACCTCTTTCAGCAGCAGCAAACTGTCCCCCTTGCTGCCAGTCGCCAGAGGAGCAGCCCACTTCTGCATGACAAGGGTATGCAACAGGTTGCCCAGGCCATTGGTGGTGTAAGAGGTTAACCTCCAACCCCTCAAAGCAAGGGCCAGGAGATATTCCCTTCCCCACAGTGATCCGCAGAGAACTGTAAGTCTTGGAGAGGGAAGAGACCCCTTTAAGGTTGACGGGGATCTTGCTTCTCCCAGACACTTCTGATTTAGATCAAAATGTGAAAGTTGTTTTGTGTTTTGGATCTGCTGCCTGGGGAATGTGAAACATGGGCCTCTCAATGTGCAGTCAATTAACAGTAACGAGGGCCCTGATGCACACAAGACTGCTAGGCAGAGCAAGGGGTGGAGAACCAGCACTGCTTGCCTGCTCTGGATAGCAGAAACTATACCCTGGGTTTACCCTTTTGCCGTATCACATTTGATCTGTTTGGAGTATCTGTCAGGAACAGTCAGGACTTACAAATCCCATTATCTCAAGACCACTCCAGACGCAGTGACTTTGGGTCCAAGGCCCTGAAAGTCAGGTTGTCTGAAATCTTTTACAACGCTGTAGGTATTACCACGCAGTTATGATCCAAGTTTCTAACTAAGAGCCTGTCACATCTGCAGACTAGTTTACAACTTCTGTTTTGTTTTAAACTTTGCTTACACAAATTATTTTAGCAATATAGTAAGACAAATTGGATCCAGCTAAATTTTTACACAAGTTATTGACCCCGTATGGTCAAGAGCCCAGCAACACACCGGAGCAGTCAGGCTACATGAGCCGCCAAGCAGTCTGAAGAGAGATTGCTGTCATGTTCTCAGTGGTCTGAAATTTGGAAGCTGCTGTAAATACTAAGAAAGCAGACTAAGGTGATGGAGAAATACCCTGGTGGTTTCCCTTGTGAATATGGGCAGTGACATTCTTCCACTGTCTCTGTGTTTAGATACCGCTCTCGCCACTCGGCATAGTTCGCGAGCCTGCTAGGAGCGGGGGCTGGCTGAGTCACTGCTGCGCCTTGTCATTAACTTTCCCACAGCCTGCGTCTTTGGCGCTGCGCTTGGGAATGCACTCCAAGGGGATCAGACCGTCAGAGCCTGCTGTGTGCTCATGCCCCAGCGTGCTGCTTTCAGCATGGTCCTGCAGGCACAGGCGCTGGACTCCCAGGTTGCTTGGTCAGCTCTGGGTTTTCCAGGCTCCACAGCTGAGGAAGGTGGGATTTCACCATGGTATCCAGAGGAACAGGAGCCCGAGCACTCCACAGAGAGACATGAAATTAAAAGCAACATGCTTTAAAAATGAAATAATGTGACCTTGGGGAAGGCTGAAATCCAAAATTACAAATCTCAGCTTATCCTCCAGCAGTTTTATTGCCAAGAAAAATCCTCAGGGTCTCATAGCGACCCCCACCTGAATCTCCCTAAAGCACCCACCAGGTGTACACAGTCAGTTACCGAGGCTAACTTTGTTCCATGTCTTAAATGCACTGAAATGAGCTACGGACAGTCCTCATGTGTGAGACCTCTTCAACTGCAGTGCTGGGGTACCCTGAAGCACCCTTAGAGCCCTCTGCAGTGCCCCTTTTGTACCTGTCTGCAAGGCAATGTGTCAAACCCCAGGGCTGAGAAAGCCCATTTCTCCCTGCTGGACCCCCTCCCACCAGTCTGGAGCTGGCCCTCTCTTCTGCAGGCAGATGCAGACACGTGTCAGCTCTGAAATGGAAGTCATGATGCTACAACAGCATGACATGGGGCCCTGATACTGTACCCTGCCTCCTGGCCATGCTTCAATGACTCCTGGGGCTCCTGACATGGGGTTTGCTCAGGATCTACTCTGTGTCTGGATGGCTTGAAGCACAGACAGGGTGAGCTTGCGTTGCGGGCTACACCAGGACACACCAATTAGCTCCGCACTTTGATGGGAGAGCACTATGCACTTTTGCATTTGAAAAAAAATTAAGAGGCTGATCTCAACAAAGGCCACAAATCCTGGCAGACTTGGCTGTCTCTGCTGGGGGAGGGATCTCACCTGATCTGGCTCTTTTTGGGGTTGATGTCTGATATAATCGGGTTCTTCTCATACTTGAATGTGATGTTGTAGCTGGCACAAGACTTGTTTTCAAACTGGACACAGACTCGCACGGCCGTGGTGAGCTCCGCAGATGGCATGGTGCAGGTGATGGTGCTGTCGTTGCGGCTGCGCAGGGAAAGGCAGGGTAAGCTGCAGAAAGCCATGGCAGACAGAGTGGCTGGAGCCAGGCACCGTGGACCTGACCCCCCCGGGGAAGAGAGGCGGTCAGCAGAGACAGGCAAGAAGGAGCTTCCAGTCATATGCCAATCACCTATTCATTACATTGCCTACTAACAAGCAATTTTGAGCATATACCATCCCAGGCTGCCAGACTTCCCCATACAGCCAAAGGAAAAGGGCAGACTCCTACTTCTTCCTGCTG